GTTGAACCCCGACAGTCTGCCCAGGATTCATTTGAGTGTGTGTGTGTGTGTGTGTGTGTGTGTGTGTGTGTGTGTGTGTGTGTGTGTGTGTGTGTGTGTGTGATCATGCAGGCTCTTTGCAACCTTGCAGTGTGGTGCATCTCTGTTCAACATGTGCCTGATGACATTCTGGCATCTTCCCTATCAGTAATTGTTGGTGCAGTTCTGCATGCAATTGAGAATCCATTGGGTTCAACATCTGTGACATTTGAGGCACAGAATGTGAGTTATCTTTGGATCTTTGGGAACCTGTGCTTTGGTCTCCTGACCTGCTGTCTTCCCGTCAATTAGTGGGGGTTATCACAGAATGAATTACACAATAAAGTCCCGAACCTTTGGGGGGTTGTGATTCCTGAACCTTTTTATAGCACCTTATGGTCAATTTCAGAAGAAGAATAGCCTGAATCGGTGAAGATGGCAAGGAAGAGGATGGGAAGACCTATGACTAATGGACAGAGGAACAGAATGGTGTGGATGGGATGGCATCATCATAACTTACTGACAAATTGGTATCGGTTTGCAGAGCATGTCATGTGTCTGAACACCGGGGCCTCGAGACATTTTCTTGGGTGAAAGCCCATACGCTTGGCCGAGTTTTAGTTACACCCGCTCTTTCTGCTGTTTTTCTTTTGCTTTTCGGTCCCAGTCCTTCCATTCTCTCTCCCTCTCCTTGGTCTGATGGAAGATGAAATTTGTCGCCTTCACTTATTGCTCTTGGCATTACTCTTGTCTCCCAGTTGTTAGAGATGGCCTCTGTGTGTGTCTTAGGTCTGTCCTCTCTTGTCCCTGGCAAGTTTGGTTGGTCCCCGGCCTTCCACCTCTTTGCGTGATTAGAAAAGAAAAAAAAAACAGCTTACCTGAATTAAGTTCAATTAACTATATGTATAGTATTTATACCAACATTTAAACCACCACTACCTTTCAAGCTGGAAGGCGAAGCCGTAAATATAACCTATACCTCATTCTTTGGAGGCCGCTGGAGGCTGTGCGCTACCGGACCAAAGAGGCTGGGCGCTATCGGACCAAAGAGGTTGGCGGCACCAGCCAAAACAAAACAAAAAACGCCGCAGTGGCGCTTTGGCCAAAGCTTGGCGTGCAGTTCTACCCTGCCTCAGCAAAAAGAGGCGCGGAGGTAGCGGTGGTTTAAGATTGGACCAGCCAACGAGATCATGCTTAGGGTAGAGTGATGGCCCATGCTTTGCTCGAGGATGGACCTGAGTCTGTTTTTTTCATGGATTGTGGTGTGGGCCAACTTTTTGTGGTCACCTGAAGGCCGAGCTATCTTTTCAGTGGCGTCGGAACCCTGCTGCTCCCAGATAGTCTAGATGTGCTGTGCAGGCCACCTCTGCAGCTGAGAAAACCAGTCGGAACGGATTGGACGACACCACTGCATTCATGTGGTAGAAGGACTCACCTGGTTGATACTGTGATGATGCAGGACCAGTGGCGTCCTACCGAGTAGACTATGCGCATGCAAAGGTATGGTGCCGCAGAGGCAGGTTTAGCATGCATTCAAGTTAGTAGTGAGAGGAGTTTCACGCAAGAGGCCAGACAAAGGCCGACATCCATAGCTGACATGGGTACTCAGGGGGGAGCAAGAGATTGCGATTTGTTGTATATGTGTGCATGTGTGTGTGTGTGTGTGTGTGTGTGTGTGTGTGTGTGTGTGTGTGTGTGTGTGTGTGTGAGAGAGAGAGAGAGAGAGAGAGAGAGAG